TACGGTCAAGCATTACGTAAAACAACAGTAAATCACACCCCCAAACAATTGATGCAGCAGGAAACCAAACAGAGTTTTCAAAACTATTCTGCATGGAAGAGCCCACAACCTTAATTGGACACGGATTCTCAAAACGTCCTCTTCATGCAATAACAGTGCAAGGTACGACCTACTGACCACCTTTCTATTCTGTCAATGAAGATCGATCTTTACTGACATAGCACAGAAATGATTCATGAAGATAGAACCGGCATATTCACGCTCACTAGTAAAAACTCACTTTGCCATATCCACCTTTTCCTAGAACTTTGAGCAATTCAAAGTCTTTTGGGCCAACTCGAACGCCTTGGTTGACGGCTATACATGACAAATCAATGGCTTCAACCATCGGATCTTGACTGAAATGATAACCTAGACCTATTTACCAGATAAATCTAAATGGGAAGTGCTAAGAAAACATACATGTATGAGGAACTTGGCGGCGGAGCGGATATTACACCCTGAAACAACAAGAAGTTGACGACTGAAACTGCAGATGGTGTGAAAAGACGCTAACGCTTACAATTATTTACACAGGCTTAGACGTAAAAGCTTTCATCTGTTACTTGATTAATGAAAGAGAATAAATTTCCAAAAAGTTTGGAGAGGAAGAGATGATAAAATGAAGAATGGCTAGTAAGAAAACCTACATCAGCCACATTACTGTACATTTGATCATCTTCCATTTCTTCTTGCATTACGCCGCCATCACCATATCGATGTGGTTCGTTCCCATCTAATTCAATATCGAATACGCCCGCCATACTGAAATATGACGTGACTGAATCAAATGATGTAAAGGATATTGATGCGATTAATTCACACACTTAAATGAGAGAAATACGAACACAAAAACATTAGAATCCATAAAAAGGCCAAAAATTGGATATTTCAACACAAAAGCAAGGTTTCACTAGGATTTCATAAATCCCACTATCTGATTCACACTGCGAATGCGATGTAGTAGGATCGATTGATAATCGTGCATGACTTGGTGAAAGCGCAAGCGATGAAGGATAAGAAAGTGTGATGACTTTGTTCAACACATGCGGTAACCTTTCATAAGTTTTGAACTTTCCCACGAATCTATTATAATAATGAAATGCAGTCCAAACATGTGCACTTACAAACGACGTGCAAAAATTGACTTTTTCAAACCCTTAAAAAACATGGTTTTCACAGTTTTTCACAGTTACTCTGTCGTTGATCAAATGCACCATTTTTTTCAGCGCAAAACAGTGATGTCAGAACGTTTGCCACTTGGTGGAAATGAGAATTTGCCGTGGAAAGTGTGAAATGCTAACGTTAGGTATTGAATTTTGCTCGCCAAAGAAAAAGGGGAGTTAACGCATCGATGCTGTGCACAAAGATACACGAGTGTTCGACAAGGTTTTTGATACAGACTCTTTTTGAAATACCCGTGAGAAATATTCATATGGAAATATACACATTTTGTTTCCTTTCTCCAGCTGGACTCTGCAAAAAACAAAGAACGAAACACATTCTCTCAAACGACAGCCCCAACCAATCCAGGTGACGTTAATTATAATACCCTGAAACTGAGAACGTATACATGCATGTCATTCATATAATAACCAGGTGAGCCACAGAAACCACCCAATTCGAAACTGAAGACAATAAAACTCTACGGATATTAACCGCGAGTAACCAATGAGAGAACATCGTAGTTTGGTTGACTTCGGCAAAGTTTAGACTCGTTGAAAGCACTGGGTCCCTTGAAAATGGGACATGTCACACTTCATGCACGAAGAATTGTTCGACGTAGAAAGGATTTAGAACGTTCATGACACCCCTACACTTGCCTCCTGTATTCGTTGAGGAAGAGCGACCGTTACTCGTGACCGTTCCTGCTTTTCTGCGATGGTTCGAACTCTTACTATGAACTCCTGCTCGAATAAGACTCATTTTGTGAATAACAAAAAACTTTGTCATGATCAGGCAAGACGTCCAAGTAAAGAATATTCTTTAAAAAAAGGCTGCTGTAGGCAACAATTCATCCTGAGAATACTGTTTGGGACTCTAAAATGACTGAACTACTGCTCGCAAATGGAACAAGGCTCAAAAATGGGTGTGCATCGCCAAGCCCCAAATTTTTTACCAGGCGAGCTTTTTCCTGAGTCACTAAAAGATAAACTCGCCGTATCTCAACAAAGTGGAAGATTGAAGCTTGCTCTTCAAAATGCACTACATCTGTAAAAAAAACTGAAGAAGTCACTTAACAAAGCATAAGCCAACCCAAGCTTCCCAACAAAGCCTGGGTACCGGCATCGAAAGACGCATATAAAAAAAAATGAAAAAAAAAAAAAAAAAAAAATGCAGGGTAAATATCCGGTAAGGAGGATTACTCACGGCTATGTCAGAGGATTGTGCGCCCTGATCAGTAACCTATCCCGCGCGACATTTTCCACTCGCATGCGCGAGCCGTCTGTGCTCTCCGCGCACACATTCACTCTCGGCACTACTCTCGCACAATACAGAGCCATGGTCAACCGACCATATTCACCCTGCCCGAAGGTGCTAGAGACGGTAAGTCGTGCCGGAGGAACCATATTGAATGATCCTTGTAGCTTATCACCGCGTTGTAAATATCTGTAGATTTTCGTCGACTTCCAGTTCAAACAGCACTTTGTGCGCTATCATTATTTTGTTGCCATATTTATGGCGCACATGCAGTTCGCCGAAAGACTTTGCCCTTTCAAAACAGTTATAAGAAGTCCACCTTGGAGTAGAAAATCATCTCTGCCTTGTCTTCGAGCGAATGAGCTCTATAATGGCAATGATTGTTTACTGTTTGGAAACCTCTCATGAGGTGAATCACTATATGGTAAAAATTTATTGCCCACAACACATTTCTTCATTGGAAAGCTATCAGTATTTGTAAAATATGTTGGAAAATGGGGCATTAAGCAGGGTTTACGGATGAAAACGCTCGCTATTCCGCTCCTCCATATGCGCATTTCTTGAAACCTAGCCATTTGCTCACGCACATGCCCTAGAAGAACCATATTTTTATAGATGATCCACACTTCGTTTTCTTAACCCTGAGATTGCCAACACATTTGCCGGCTGTGAATCGCTTGGACAGGAAGAGATTTTCAGCTTTTCGTAGAGCGTAACTTATCCGCTGCGGGAACCTCAATCCAGTCATAATCAGGGGTGGACCTGAGGTTTCCGCAGAAAAAAGTTTCGCATTGCGTAACTCGAAAGGTCGCTTTGTACCCTGGCGATCCACACCCCATTTCTCACTCCTCCATCCAATATAGAAACGGCTTCATCAGTCCGAACATATGAGAGTAATGGTCTCAAAATTAGACCGCAGACGATCTTTTCCGCATATAATCCCTAATTTTATTTCCTTAGACTGATATCGGGCATGGCAACTGCAAACTCGCCCGCCTATTAGCACCGCACTCGCCTCCTAATAAACGTCAGACACTTTTGCCTGGTCTGTTGGTGGTAAATTTCCAGTACTCGTGGTACACCTTAATATCACCAGTCTCCTTCTCTGACCCGCATCTAGCACGTAAAGGATAAAAGGATAAAGCATTTGCCGTTGATCAATCCCTTTTTGGGATGCGGCACGCATTCTACTTCCATTTGTACATTCGCAGTGGCGTTTGAATGCGATGTGGCCTATACAATGACTTGCGGGGGCCAGCCGATGTACAAGTCAGTGTTTTTTATCCTCCCAGACAAGTCTGGTACCAATTAACCGACCCCGGAGGGATGGAAGGCTTGGTTGGCCCTCACGACCCAGGATTTGATCCCCGGACCGCTCGCGTGGTAAGCGTGCCACTTGCCACTACACCACTTCCGCCGCATCTAGCACATATTGATCAGCAAATCCTTATTTCCCACCGACGCACTCAGGTCCGCCTCGCTCGCCTGTCTGACCTAGAGACCTCAACATATATCCTGTGGGGTCACAAACTCACTGAATGACTACCCAGTGGTCATTCAGCTCAAAAAAGGTCGAGAAGAAAAGTTTAATAATGCTCAGGCTTCCGTAGCAATAGATATTGCTACAGAAGCCTGAACATACAGGCTATGATAAAAAGGTCACTGCCTGTAAAAGTTCGGAAATGGGTGAAGCACTACTTATTACATCTAGACAGATCCCAAGCACAGATGTGCGAAGTGCGTTCCGAAAACTGGTCTCAAATGGAATGAAACCAGCTGAGTGCACAAACGCGACAGTTAGCAATTCACAAAAAGAGTAACATTAATTTGAATTAGGCCTTGTCCTTTGTTCCTGTCCTTTGATTCCTCACTGCTTTCCCTTTCTTCAAGGAATCAATGAACTTCAGTTGACCGACAAACACAAAGAAGCGTTTGCTTTTTTTGTTTCCGATATAAATGAGGTTTATAGTTAGAAAAAATATAGGAATAAGAAAGTCTCTTCGATACTATGAAAACTTATGTATAGGCATCAGACCTCGCGTTCGCAGTAGCCAGGTCTGACACCTATCTTGAACCGATCTTTGGAGAATCTGAGTATACCTAAAAAATGAGAGCTCGCCTTTATCGAGCAGAAGATGCGACTGCACATTGTAAAAGTATGTTCATACAATTCGCAACGAAAAGCGTGCAAGAAGGCTTATGCCACATTAAGAATATCCAAATCAATATTTAAAAATGCTTGAACTTCTATACTCGGGAAAAAGAAACCTCTTAGAACCTCGACTCAAGAAGGCGTTCTTTTCAACTCCGACTTTCTGACCTGAAGAAACAATAGACTAGAGTCAGCATAGAGGCGATTAGTGAAATTCGACATTCTAGTAGCAGAGCTGTTTTAATCCTGTAGTCATTATAGACGCGCCCCACTGCATAGTTACGGACTAAAAACTGCGCCGATTCACACCAGTACCCGGCCTGTTACGCAGTGGCGAGCGCATGTTTCGCCCAGATTAACTTGTACCGTCTCGTTTCGATTATGTTAATGATAAAGCAAGAACGGTGAACATATTGAGCAGTTCAATATGAGACTCAGCTAAGGAAAGCTTAACGGTCTCCCATACATGCTATTAGTCCAGTTGCGCTTACATGAGAAGAACATCAGTTAGGTTGTGCTCATAGCTCACGACTTCGAGGATTAGGATAGTAGGTGATAGGGTATGGGGTTATAGGATATTCAGCCGAAAAGATTATAGGTTTTTTGACATGAGATGAAGGAGATTTAGAACTAGCGCTCTATGTACAAAACGAGCACGGACATTATAAATCACAAAAAAGTGATTTCCTAATCTTCTACTATCGTAATCGACCGAACTCGGCGCTGTGCCCCCGGGGAGCGGGGAGGAGCAGACTGCGTGAAGGCCACTAGGACTAACCTAATGGAGAGAAAGGATGTCGGGACGGAAAGAACGAGAATTGCTTACGCACCTCGGATTTTCACTTCTAGTCCGACTTAATCCGAAAACTGAGCACCTTTGAATCTGGCACAACGTTACGCGCTGCCCCCTTTCATTTCATGGAGCTGCATTGCGACGTAAACTCCTAGACTGGAGTCCGCGATCAGTCGCGCGATTCGCGCGAATCGCAAGAATCAAGTGCCCCACTTGAGCATTTGAAACAGTGAAGTGAAACAAGTAGAATAATGAACAGTCGTCGGGTCTATTGCTGTTGGGGGGGGGGGCATGTGATTTAAAGTGCTCAGCTAGTTTAAAATCACGAACAGCATATTCTCCTAGTATAAAGGTTTAGGACTAACCAGGAAGGTCTTTCAGGGCGTGCCAAGCTTTTT